TCCACAAACTCTGTCTGTGACGGAGCCCTTGACATGGCTGCTCTAGTCACTAGCAGATTCCGACAGTGGTTGCTGCAATCGCTTCCAACATAAAAGCTCCTAACGGAAACACGTCTTCGGCCCTGCGTGACAGTTTCCGGCGAGGAGGTGTTCTACAGGAGGTTCTGGAGTCCTCCCACTGCTCAAGGAGTGCCCTGGAGCCATCCCTCCTCCAGCTCAGCTCCTCTCCCCTGCTGAGCCCCTTCTTCAGCTGCCAAGGCCCTCCTGCAACCTGTGTGAGCCCTTTCACCCTCCCTGCTGGTTCCCTTCAGCCAGCTGCGTCTCTCCCAACCTGTGTGTGAGCTCCTTCACCTCCTTCCTGTCCATGGCAGTCTCCTGACATCCACCTCCTCCAGGCCCCCTTCACCCCCTCCTGCTCTCACTCGCCTGTAGAGGGTGGCGAGGTCTGGACCGCCATCGGCAAAGGCCTCACACAAGGCACGCAGCAGCTGAAGAGGCACCAGGAGGTGGCACACACAGGCCTGGGAGAGACGCAGCAGCTGAAGAGCACCAGGAAGCTGGCACAGACTTGCCTGCCTGCTGGAGCCCTTTTTCTTCAGCTGCTGCATGTCTCTCCAACCTGTGTGAGCCCTTTCACCCTGCCCCACTGCTGCCCTTCCACCTGCAGGAGTTCTTTCACCTCCCTTTTCCCGTCTGATTTAGTTCCCTGGACATCCACCTCCTCCTCCAGGGCCCCCACCCTCCGTCCTCCTCACCGCCCGCAGAGTGAGGGGCAGAGGGGGTGAAGGGGCCCTGGAGGGGGAGGTGGATGTCATGGAACCAAGCATCGGACGGGAAGGGAGGAAAGGGCTCCACAGGTTGGGAGAGACGCAGCAGCTGGAAGAGGGAACCAGCAGGGAGGTGAAAGGCCCACACAGGCTGGGAGGAGACGCAGCAGCTGAAGAGGGACCAGCAGGGGAGAGGAGCTGAGCTGGAAGTGTTCTGAGCCATCCTCCAGCTCAGCTCCTCTCCCCTGCTGGTTCCTTCTTCAGCTGCTGCGTCTCTCCCAACCTGTGTGAGCCCTTTCACCTCCCTGTTGGTTCCCTCTTCAGCTGCTGCGTCTCTCCCAACCTGTGTGAGCCCTTTCACCTCCCTTCCGTCCGATGGCAGTTCCCTGACATCCACCTCCCCTCCAGGGCCCCCTTCACCCCCTCTCGCCCCTCCTCTACGGGCGGTGAGGAGGCAAAACCCTGGAATGAACTTCCTTCATCTTCCGATGTCTCGAACACTTCTCTCAACCTGTTGCGGTTCCTGGTCTCAAGTACACCTCCTCCTCAGAGTCCATCTCCCTTCCCCTTCCGAGTCCGGGAATCCTTCCAACTCCTCCCCTTCATCAGTGGTCCCAAAGTATTCCCTCCGGAACCTCTCCACAGGCTGAGGTTTCCTTGGGAACCTTTGATGGAACGTTTCTATCAATACCTCGTCATTGATATCTTCAGCCATTACCCAAGTGTTTTCTGACTCCGGTTCTCCTTCCCACGCTACCAAATACTCCACCTGATCCCCCTTCCACCTGGCGTCGAGGATTTCAGCCACATGGCTGCTGCATTCTCTTTCTTCTACGACCGGTCCCCGAGTGGCCAGCCCTTCTCGTCCCCCTTCGTACGGTGACAGTAACGACCTGTGAAATACTGGGTGCAGTTTCATGTGGTTGGGTAACCGGAGCCTGAAAGCCACTGGGTTGACCTGTTGAATGACCTCAAAGGGACCCAACCTCCTGGGTCTTAATTTCTTACAACCTCCTTTGAACGGCAACCCTTGGGTTGACAGCCACACCCTATCTCCCACCCTTATGGTTTCACCTTCCCTTCGGTTCTTGTCTGCCTGCCTCTTGTATTCTTCCTTCGCCCTTTCTAAGTTGAGTTGGAGCTGACGATGGATTGCTTCCATTTCTTCCACAAAATGTTCGGCTGCCGGGACGCTCCATCTCTCCCCTCTCCCCTGGGAAAGCCCTGGGATGACACCCATAATTAGCCAAGAAGGGGCTCATCCCTGTGGACACATTCTCGGCATTGTTGTAGGCAAATTCCGCCAGCGCCAACTTTTCTACCCAGTCATTCTCTCTGTCATTGACATAACACCTCAGGTATTGCTGGAGGACACCGTTTGCTCTTTCCGCCTGCCCGTTGGTTTCAGGGTGCCGGGCAGTCGAAAAATTGACCTCCACCTGCAGTAAGCTCATGAGCTTCCTCCAGAACCTGGAAGTAAATTGTTTTCCTCGGTCTGAGACCACCCTCAATGGCACCCCATGCAACCTAAAAATGTTTTCTACAAATAACTTCGCTGTCTCTTCCGCCGTGACTGCATGCGAGCAAGCTACAAAGTGGCACATCTTTGTTAGTAGGTCTACCACCACCATGATGGCTGTTTTCCCTTTGGACTTCGGCAGATCAGTCATAAAATCTATCGACACTGCCTCCCAAGGTCGTTCTGGGGTTGGTAAGGGTTCTAATAGCCCCGCCGGCGCCCGCCTTTCCCCTTTGGCTCGCTGGCATTGCTCGCACCCTCTTACATACTCACGTACATCTTCCCTCACCTTAGGCCACCAAAATTCCCTGGTGACCAACCACATGGTTTTGTGTTGTCCAAAATGCCCCGCCGTAGGGCTGTCGTGCAACTGCTTGAGTACCCTCCCCTTAACTCTCCTTCAGGGATATACAGTGCCCCTTTGTAATACAAAGCTCCATTTCTTTCCTCGAAACCCCTGGTTCCTCTCCATCACCCCTAAGACCTCTGAGCTTATTCTGGGCGTATTCATCATTCTCTGTTTCCTCTACCAGTTCTCTTTGTCCCACCAATGCCGCCCCACACACCCAGCGGTCTTCTGGAATGACATGTCTCTCTTCGGGTGCCCCTCCCTCCAAATATTCAGGTTTGCGTGAGAGAGCGTCCGCCCTAATGTTCTCTGGGCCTGGCACGTAACTAATCTCAAAGTTAAATTTGGAGAACTCCTGGGCCCATCTCACTTGCCGTTGGTTGAGCACTCGTGCCGTCCTCCAATACTCTAGGTTCTTGTGGTCAGTGCACACTTGCACCTTATGTTGTGCGCCAATTAGCAGGTGCCTCCATCTCCGGAACGCCTCATGAATGGCTAGTAGTTCTCGGTCATACACCGTGTAGTTCCTCTCGGATTTGTTCAGCTTTCGCGAAAAAGGCACACGGTCTCCACTCTGACCCCTTCTTGCCTGGCTGCAGAAGCACCGCCCCAATCGCTCTGTCTGATGCGTCAGTTTCCACTCTCATCGGTTTTTGTAAATCCACATGCAGGAGTTGTTGTTCCGAGGCGAAGGCCCTTTTAGTTCCTCAAATGCTCGCTCCGCCTCCTCAGTCCACACGAACTTCTTCTTACTGCTGAGACAGTCCGTAATGGGCGCCGTCAGGTGGGCAAAGTTTCGGATGAACTTACGATAGAAGTTCCCAAATCCTAGGAACCTCTGCACATCCTTCTTTGTTTTGGGTGTTTTCCATTCCAGTACTGCCTGGACCTTGCCGGGATCCATGGCCAATCCCTTGTCTGACAGGCGATACCCCAGGAATTCCACCTCCTTGGTATGAAACTGACACTTCTCCAGTTTCACCCACAGCTGGTTGGCTTGCAGCCTGCTCAACACTTCTCTGACGTCTCTCACATGCTGCTCCTCATTCTCAGAATACACCAACACGTCGTCTAAAAAGGCCACACAATTCTTGTAAAGCAAAGGCCCCAGGACGTGGTTCATAAACGATTGAAATGTTGCGGAGCCTGCTTGTAGGCCGAAGGGCATAACCAAATATTCAAATGCCCCTAAAGGGGTGAACATAGTGGTTTTCCATTCATCCCCCTTCCTTATTCGTACCAGGTTGTACGCCCCCCTTAGGTCCAGCTTTGTGAAAATCTTTCCCTTCCGCACCCTTGTCAAAATGTCGTCAATCCTGGGCATAGGGAAGGCTACTGGTTCTGACACTGCATTTAAGGCCCTGAAGTCACACACCAGCCTCGGCTTGTTCGTGTTTTTCTTATCCACAAAAACACTGGGCTGCCCCCACCGCCCTGGACTCTCTGATGAACCCTCTCTTCAGGTTCTTGTCAATGAACTCTCTTAACTCCTGCATCTCTCTGTCTGACATGGCGTACAGCTTGCCTACAGGGAGCTGTGCTCCAGGGAGTAAGTTGATTTGACAGTCAAAGGGTCTATGCGGGGGTAGTTGGTCAGCTTCCCTTTCGCTGAAGACGTCACGGAGATCTGCATATTGTCGTGGTACCTTCACGTTCTCTGTTACTTCAGTCCCTGCTAGGGTGGCTTGGACCCCTGCCAAACCTTTTCCCTCTTTGCAGTGTTCTAAGCAATGTGCTGAACCAAAAGAAACCACTCTCTGATGCCAGCCCACCAGCGGATCATGTAACGCTAGCCAGCTCATCCCCAATATAATGGGAGCTCCTCCCAAGGTGGCCACATTAAAAGCTATCAGTTCGGTGTGCCTTGCTACCTTCATTATCATTGGGACGGTCTGCAAGCTGACTTCGCCACCCAACAGCTCCCTGCCATCGATCGTGGTTACCTGCAGGGGCTGCTTAAAGGGATTGTCTGTATCTGGTGTTCAGCTGCAAACTCTTTGCTCATGAAATTGCAGGAGCTGCCTGAGTCCAACAGCGCCTTTATCTTTAGAGGGTGTCCGTTTGGCAGCTCTAGCGTCACTTCTATCACTAGGGCGGGTTTAGGAGGTTCTGGCGTGGGCACTCTCACTGCTCTTTGGCCTGGCTGCTGTGCCCTGACAGTGGCAGCCAGGCGTTGGCTTTACTTGCTCCGGTATTTTTCCTCTCTTCCATCCACAGCTCCTACCATCCCTTGCCATTCTTTCCTCTGGGGGCAGACTCTGGCAAAGTGACCTGGCTGTTGGCAGAGATAGCATTTCCGGGCGCCTTTTCCCTCCTTCTTTGCCCCCTCACTGGGCTTTGAAACTGCGCGCGCGCGCGCTGTTCCGATTTCCATCGGCTCTGCCGGTGGGAAAGTTGGCTCTGGAATGTCTGGAATGCGGAACTCCTTCCAACGTTCCCCTTCCCTTCCCGCCTCTCCAATGCTCTCGCCTCCTGGCGCGCCTCCTATGGCCAGCGCTGATTTGGTCAGCTGGTCCATAGACTCCGCCCTGGGCGCCCGGGAAAGTTCGTCTTTCACAGCCGAAGAAAGCCCTTCTTCAAAGAGCATTTGAATGGGTTCCGCCGATAAGTCCCACCCCAATCTGTGAACAAGCATGGTGAACTCAGTCCAGTACTCACGGACAGATCGGCTCCCTGTTTGCAACCCATTAACTGTCTGCGCACCACTCCTTTTCAATATCGCTGGAAAACATCAGATCCATGGCGCGAAAGAACTTCATCGTGTCCTTTAAGACGTCACTATTCGCTGCCATCAGGGGTCTAACCCAGTCTCTCGCCCCCTTTTCAAGATGCTCAATCACGAAAGCCACTCGTGATTCCTCGTCAGGGAATTCATCAAACTGCAGATTGAGGGCATATTGCATTTCTGTCCGAAAACCATGATAGTTTTTGGGCTCCCCCCCAAACTTCTGCACCAATCCTGGTACCTTTCTGGCGAACTGGGTGGCTTTCCCCATTGTCTGCATCCTGAGCCCTCCTCTCCTCAAGCCTCGCCGTCTGCATCGCTAGCTGGACCTCCAACATCTGGTACCTTTCTTCCAGGCTTGGACCCGCTCCAGCTCCTGCTTCTCCGGTTCCGGCTGGGTTGCTCATGATGCCTTCTCCTGCACAAGCTGCTTTCAAAGACTGTCGGAATGCTGTGATGGGATGATGAGCTGCTTGTGCGTAAAATCGTATCCCCTCAGAGTTTGTTCAAGTCCACAAACCTCTGTCTGTGACGGAGCCCCTCAGACATGGCTGCTCTAGTCACTAGCAGATTCCGACAGTGGTTGCTTTCGTAATCGCTTCCAACATAAAAGCTCCTTAACGGAAACACGTCTTCTGGAATCTCTGCGTGACAGTTTCCGGCGAGGAGTGGGTGTTCTTACAGGAGGTTCTGAAACCTCCCCACTGTTTTCGCTGGAAGTGTCTCTGAGCCATCCCTCCAGCTCAGCTCCTCTCCCCCTGCTGGTTCCTTCTTCAGCTGCTGCGTCTCTCCCAACCTGTGTGAGCCCTTTCACCTCCCTGTTGGTTCCCTCTTCAGCTGCTGCGTCTCTCCCAACCTGTGTGAGCCCTTTCACCTCCCTTCCGTCCGATGGCAGTTCCCTGACAGAGTTCTCCAAGAAAACCTGTACCCATTTGACAGCGACATATATTGGAAGTTTTTTTTCAAAATTTCTCTACAAACTTTATCAAAATTAAAAGCGCTTAGGTGAAACAAACAAACAAACAAAAAAAACAGAACTTTGAGTAGTAGATGCTGGGTATGGTACCTAGGAACTTGATGCTAATGACCAGAATAACAAGAGAAGTCAAGAGGGCTGTTGACCCCTACATGTCTGAAGCACATCTATGGAAAGGCTACTAGGACAAGGCCCAAACCAAATAAGAGGTTACAGTTGCCAAATTGGCTTCATCGATTTGGTGGAGGGGATCCACACCACACAGCATCATTTGGAAAACCTGCAATGAGTCATTTGACTCATAAACCTCTCTTTCCCCAAAATGCTTATTACCTTTGTTTTTTTTTTAATAATATATTTATTAAGATTTTTTTAAAATATTACAATAAAAATGGGGGGGGGAATGACAAAAATACAAAATAAAAATAGTTAAAAACACACAGATTTTCCATTACTTATTTTCCTTTGACTTATTTCCCGGACCTCCTCATACCTCCCTTTTTTGTATTCCACTTCAATCTGTTGGTTCAGCAAATCCTTTAAAAGTAATAATATTAAATTTTTACCTATTTATAACCCTTTTTTCATATTCCCTTAAAGCATTACAGCTGGAAACCACTTAATTACTATCCAACATCATCCTAACATTCATTAATTTTACAATATTTCTGTAGATAATCTTTGAATTTCTTCCAATCTTCTTCCACCGACTCTTCTCCCTGGTCTCGGATTCTGCCAGTCATTTCTGCCAGTTCCATATAGTCCATCACCTTCATCTGCCATTCTTCCAGAGTGGGTAGATCTTGTGTCTTCCAATACTTTGCAATGAGTATTCTTGCTGCTGTTGTGGCATACATAAAAAAAGTTCTGTCCTTCATTGGCACCAATTGGCCGACTATGCCCAGGAGAAAGGCCTCTGGTTTCTTCGAGAAGGTATGTTTAAATACCTTTTCAGTTCATTATATATCATTTCCCAGAAGGCCTTAATCCTTGGGCACGTCCACCAAAGGTGAAAGAATGTACCTTCAGTTTCTTTACATTTCCAGCATTTATTGTCGGGCAAATGGTAGATTTTTGCAAGCTTGACTGGGGTCATGTACCACCTGTATATCATTTTCATAATATTTTCTCTTAGAACATTACATGCCGTAAACTTCATACCTGTGGTCCATAACTGTTCCCAGTCAGCAAACATAATATTATGTCCAACATCTTGTGCCCATTTAATCATAGCAGATTTCACCGTTTCATCCTGAGTATTCCATTTCAACAGCAAGTTATACATTCTTGACAAATTCTTAGTTTTGGGTTCTAACAGTTCTGTTTCTAATTTTGATTTTTCCACCTGGAAGCCAATTTTCTTGTCCAAATTATATGCCTCCATTATCTGATAATAATGAAGCCAGTCTCGCACTTTATTTTTTAGTTTCTCAAAACTCTGCAGTTTCAGTCTATCTCCAACTTGTTCCAAAATTTCCCAATATTTCGGCCAATTGGCCTCCATATTGAGCCTTTTCAGAGCTTTCGCTTCCATCGGTGACAGCCACCTTGGGGTTTTGTTTTCCAACAAATCCTTGTATCTTATCCAAACCTTAAACAGTGCTTTCCTGACAATATGGTTTTTAAATGCTTTATGCGCTTTAACCTTGTCATACCACAGATATGCATGCCATCCAAATACATTGTTAAAACCTTCTAAGTCCAAAATGTCTGTGTTTTCAAGAAGTAGCCATTCTTTCAACCAGCAAAAAGCTGCTGATTCATAGTAAAGTTTAATGTCTGGCAGGGCAAATCCACCCCTTTCCTTTGCATCAGTTAATATCTTAAATTTTATTCTGGGCTTCTTGCCCTGCCAGACAAATCTAGAAATATCTCTCTGCCACTTCTTGAAACAGTCCATCTTGTCCACAATTTGCAATGTTTGAAACAAAAACAGCATTCTAGGCAATACATTCATTTTTATCACAGCAATACGACCCAACAGTGAAAGCTTCAAATTTGACCAGATTTCTAAATCTTTTTTCAGCTTATTACCTTTGGTACATAAGTAGCAAAATAGACCTTTTAAACATTAGAGCTGCCTGCAGATGAATCTGAATTTTTTTTGGGTAAAAATCCAGACTATAAACCAGATGCGAGACAATGCTTCCTATTCAGTGGCAGGTTATACAATGTAGCTACTACAGACAGAAGAATATTTAAACACTTACTGGTTCTTGTGTTTGAAGCCGCTGATGTGAGCTTGGTACTGCTCTATGGAGTTCAGTACTATGTTACAGCTTTCACATGGATATCCCTTCCCAGCTGAAAGAAAGGGTTAAACAAGTGTGAGCACCAAATTCACTGAAGCAAACACCCCAATGTCAATTACCAATTGTGAAGTGTTGTTCACAGTGACTAAGCCAAAGATGATGCTAGGAGTTCTAAGCCAGGTGAGAGGAACAGGATCCAGCCAAACAGCTGGATCGTGAGTTCCCCCATGTGTCACTTGACAGGTGGAAAGGGCCACCCTATGGCAGGTCATCATGACAGCAGGTGACAAAAATTCAAAGGAAAAATTTGAGGGACTCATGATTTCCCCCGCTAGCCTAGCTTGAACTCAAGCTGGGCTGCAAGGGAAGATTCCTGCCAAAGCAGAGTTTGCAGAGATAGGCTCCACTCAGGAGTTGAGTGCAATCAGCCACAGCATGGCTTGCATTGTTCACCAAATATAAAAGGTGTCAAATACAAGCCCCGCTTATCAACCAGGAGTGCACACCTGTACCTACCCCACAACCGATGCCGTATATGATATCAAGTGTGGGGCAGGTGGGCTTGATTTGGGGGAACCTTGCTGGGCCTAATTAGGCCCATATTAGGCTCATGGTTCCATAGCTTCCCCACCACTGCTCTAAGCATAGCTATCCAGCTCCAAGCTGCCACTTTTAAGTTGCACGGTAAAATGATCTCTCAGCACACAGTGAGCTTAATCAACAACGTTTCCAAGAACATTCCTCTGACTCAGGGTCAATTACAGAAGATGTGGGAGGATCCATGATTAGATCTCCAAATATATCTATTTTTGCTGACAACTACTGAAGGGAGTTTCAAAATCTGAGTAGAGTAATTCTCCCTCACACCATTTTTATTATCTAAATGTTTCTGCCCCAGCTGCTGTTTGCCCCACTGGGGAAAAATACACAGGTATCTTTCACCCTGCATGGTAAACAGCAGCTGCTGCTGCAATACATGGGGGTGTGTTAGATAAAGAAAATGACATGGAAGGTATTAGGCCTAACCCCCCTGCTTTCCTAGGGCCACTGCTCCAATTAAATTTAGGGGGGGGCATTTAAAATAAAAATAACCAGAACAGGGTGTGGTGGGAGGGAAGGAGGGAGGAAGAGAGAGGAGGTTATTCCATTTGGCAAGCAATGCTTGCACTGACAAACGACTGGCACAGTGTGATGCTGAATTCCACTTCAAGTGTCTTGGGGCACCTTAAAGAATAACAAATTTAATACGGCACAAGCACTCTAGTTCTCAAAAGCTTATGTACTAATAAATGTTACCCTTTAAGGTGTCACAATACATTTTGTTGGTTTTGCTGCAACAGTTTCAAGTACGTGCCCTTCTAGAAAAAGTAAAAACAGAAATACAGGAAGATGTGATCACTGATCTCCTGTTCTTCACAGAACTCCCCCTGCAATTTTATTTTCTATATTTGTCCCTTTTGCTCTGATGCTTAAATTGTACCAGAAGAAAAGTAGAATATTTTAAAGCAAAGAAACAAAGTGAGACACAATGTATTTCATAATGCAGTAGTATTCCATTTTGTGATTCATCTGCTTCAGGTCATCTATAGTTACTGAGGCTGCAATCCTAAACCAACTTGCATGGCACTAAGTCCCAAAGAACACACTGACACCCAATTCTGAGTAGATATACATAGGATTGTACTGTTGAACCACCTTTTGTAAGTATGCTATATAATGTATTCAAGCTATGTTGGTGGATTTTCTTCAGTATAGTTCTCCAGTAAAGACACTAGTTTTATCATCTAGGGGATTGGTATCAGTGAGAGGAGAATTTAAGAGGCAAGGAATACACCAGTGTCTTCATGCTAATACTGCACAAGTATGGATGCCACATTGCAGGAAAGAATGAAGAATGGGTATATTATAATGGCAACTGTGCACTTTGGAGAATTCCAAGGCTCAAAACATCTGCTTAGATGAGAAAAATGGTGTTAAGGCTACATTCCAGAATGGTTCCTAACTGTGAAACTGGATCAGCCACTTGTAGAATCAATTTGGTTGGAAATGCAGATTGTAACCATCTGATGCCTCAGAATTCTCACTTGGGAAGCATATTAAAGTGTTCTTGCCTGTAACTACCATCTCCTTTGCTGCAACAGCCCCAACGTTCTCTCTCAATGGGCTTTAATTATAGGAAATGCAGTTATGTAAGTAACTTGAACACTGTTGGAATATCTGTTCCCCAATGGTTAGGAAAAGCAACTTTTTACACAGCGCTATTAGGAAATTTTTGAGTTCGTCTAGGCAAGGGTGGCCAATGTGGTGTCCTCCAGATGGTTCTTGGACTACAGCTCTCCTCAACCATAACCATTGACCATGCTGGCTGAGGCTAATGGATGGAAGGCATTCACTGGCAAAAGCCTAATCCCCTGCTGTAAACCCACCTCCATAGTACAAGTCTACCATGCTACCCTGTGTGGAATATAGGAGCCAAAATGGGCATCCACATGAAAGGAGGTGCAACACACACAGAGGCATAGTCGACAAGCATGTGATGTGGCTACTTAATGCTGTAT